CCCTACACCACTTTGCTAATTTAGTAGAGCTCCGCATAACAATTATAAGTTCTTATGGGAGAATTCAATCATACACGCCATGATTATAATTATAATTTAAAGTTCAAAAGACTAAATATGCCGAAGCATTTGTATCTTTCAAATTCGGACTTGTTGTGCCCATTTCATATATATGGGAGATATATCCAAATCGGAACCGATCTCGATAAAATTTAGCAAAGATATTTCCGAGCTGTTATATATTTCCCTGAATATCGTTGTTACGGAGTGCATATTACGGCTGCGGAGGACAAAAATAACAAATCGGATGAACAATATATATGGGAACTGTAGCTATATCTGAACCGATCTTCACCAAATTTGACATACTAGCTTCTAGACTCAATTCGTTCGTAAGCGCCAAATTTCAGCCCATTTGGGCAAATATTAGACGTTTGGTGCACAATAAAAAATAAATCGGACGAAGTTATTATGGGAGATAAGATCCAAATCCGAACCGATCTCGATAAAATTTAGCAAATGTATTTCTGAGTCGTATTTGATATATTTCCCCAAATATTGTTGTTACAGAGTGCATATTATTGCTACGGAGGACAAAAATAACAAATCGGATGAATGGGAGCTATAGCTATATCTGAACCGATTTCGATCAAATTTGGCATACTTATTTTCAGGCCTAATTTGGTTGTATGTGCCAAATTTCATCCCATTTGGACAAATATTAGACGTTTGGTGCACAATAAAAGGTAAATCGGACGAAGTTATATGCGTGAGACATATCCAAATCTGAATCGATCTTGATAAAATTTGGCAAAGATATTTCTGAGCTGTATTCGATATATTTCCCTGAATATCGTTGTTATGGAGTGCAAATTACGGCTGTGGGTAACAAATATAACAAATCGGATGAACAATATATATGGGAGCTATAGCTATATCTGAACCGATCTTCACCAAATTTGACATACTAGCTTCTAGACTCAATTCGGTCGTAAGTGCCAATTTCCATCCCATTTGGACAAATATTAGACGTTTGGTGAACAATAAAAGTTAAATCGGATGAAGTTATATATGGGAGCTATATCCAAATCCGAACCGATCTCGAAAAAAATTGGCAAAGATATTTCTGAACTGTATTTGATATATTTCCCCAAATATTGTTGTTACAGAGTGCATATTACGGCTGTGGGTAACAAATATAACAAATCGGATGAACAATATATATGGGAGCTATAGCTATTTCTGAACCGATGTTTACCAAATTTGACATTCTAGCTTCTAGACTCAATTCGGTCGTAAGTGCCACATTTCGTACCATTTGGACAAATATTAGACGTTTGGTGAACAATAAAAGGTGAATCGGACAAAGTTATATATGGGAGCTATATCCAAATCTAAACCGATCTCGATAAAATTTAACAAAGATATTTCTTAGCTGTATTTCATATATTTCCCTGAATATCGTTGTTACGAAGTGCAAATTACGGCTGCGGAGGACAAAAATAACAAATCGGATGAACAATATATATGGGAGCTATAGCTATATCTGAACCGATCTTCACCAAATTTGACATACTAGCTTCTAGACTCAATTCGGTCGTAAGTGCCAAATTTCATCCCATTTGGGCAAATATTAGACGTTTGGTGCACAAAAAAAAGTAAATCGGACGAAGTTATATGTGGGAGATATATCCAAATCTGAACCGATCTTGATAAAAATTTGGCAAAGATATTTCTGAGCTGTATTTGATATATTTCCTTAAATATCGTTGTTACGGAGTGCAAATTACGGCTGTGGGTAACAAATATAACAAATCGGATGAACAATATGTATGGGAGTTTGAATTACTAGCTTCTAGGCTCAATTCGGTCATAAGTGCCAAATCCCATCCCATTTGGACAAATATTAGACGTTTGGTGCACAATAAAAGGTAAATCGGACGAAGTTATATGTGTGAGATATTTCCAAATCCGAACCGATCTCGATAAAATTTAGCAAATGTATTTCTGAGCTGTATTTGATTTATTTCCCCAAATATTTTTGTTACAGAGTGCATATTACGGCTGCGGAGGACAAAAATAACAAATCGGATGAATAATATATATGGGAGCTATAGCTATATCTGAACCGATTTCGATCAAATTTGGCATACTTATTTTCAGGCCTAATTTGGTTGTGCGTGCAAAATTCCATCCCATTTGGACAAATATTAGACGTTTGGTGCACAATAAAAGGTAAATCGGACGAAGTTATATGTGAGAGATATATCCAAATCCGAACCGATCTCGATAAAATTTAGCAAGGGTATTTCTGAGCTGTATTTGATATATTTCCCCAAATATTGCTGTTACAGAGTGCATATTACGGCTGCGGAGGACTAAAATAACAAATCGGATGAACAATATATATATGGGAGCTATAGCTATATCTGAACCGATCTTCACCAAATTTGACATACTAGCTTCTAGACTCAATTCGGTTGTAAGTGCCAAATTTTATCCCATTTGGGTAAATATTAGACGTTTGGTGCACAAAAAAAAAAGTAAATCGGACGAAGTTATAAATGGGAGCTATATCCAAATCTGAACCGATCTCGATAAAATTTAGCTAAGGTATTTCTGAGCTATATTTGATATATTTCCCCAAATATTGTTGTTACAGAGAGCATATTACGGCTGCGGAGGACAAAAATAACAAATCGGATGAATAATATATATATGGGAGCTATAGCTATATCTGAACCGATTTCGATCAAATTTGGTATACTTATTTTCAGGCCTAATTTGGTTGTATGTGCAAAATTGCATACTATTCGGGCTGATATTACGTGTTTGGTGCACAATAAAAAGTAAATCGGACGAAGTTATATATGAGTGCTGTATCCAAATCCGAAGCGATCTCGATAAAATTTAGCTAAGGTATTTCTGAGCTGTACTTTATATATTTCCCTAAATATTGTTGCTACAGAGTGCATATTACGGCTGTGGAGGACAAAAATAAAAAATCGGATGAACAATATATATGGGAGCTATAGATATATATCTCAACCGATTTCGATCAAATTTGGTATACTTATTTTCAGGCCTAATTTGGTTGTATGTGCAAAATTGCATACTATTCGGGCTGATATTAGACGTTTGGTGCACAATAAAAGGCAAATCGGACGAAGTTATATATGGGAGCTATATCTAAATTCTGACCGATTATCTCCAATTTCATTTCATTTGAGTCTATCTCGTTTCCTCTTGCCTGTTACAAACAAATGCCCAAAGACATAATACCCTGACCACCTTGTGGTGTAGGAGGGTATTATTTTAATATGTTTTGATTATTCGAACTGTTGACCCCCCATAGGAGAGGTTTCGGAGGAGTGGGCCAATATTTTCCACTTCGTATCTGACATGAGTCCGATAAAAATATGAAAACGTATCAAATTTCGATTTTATATCGACTACTTATTTAAAATGTTGACCCGTTGTGGGGGGATGTTCCAGAAGGTGAAGTCAGATATTGTCCATGTGTGCTGAGTTTGAAAGTAATCGGATGCACATTTCGCGTTTTATGTGCTTAATGGTTATTCCAAATGTTGACTTTTTGTGGGGGTGGGGGGTATTAAAAGGTGGGGTCCGTTCTTCATAGCAGGGCTTGAGTTAGTAGAAATATTGAAATGTGAGAATTTTGAAGATAATCGGACTCTCTGTTAAAATTTTATAAACGTTATGGTTATTCAAATTTTTGACCCTTTGTGGGGGAGGTACCGGAACGAGTGGTCCGATATCTACCATCTTCACACCAGATCTTGCTTAAGTAGAAGTATTGGGATGTATGAAATTTCAAAAGAATCGAATGCTCATTTCACGTTTTACGAGCTTCACGGATATTTCAAATTTTGATCTTTTGTGAGGGAGGTACCAGAAGGAGTGGTCCGATATCTACCTACCATCTTCACACCAGACCATGGGTTAATAAAAATATGGCGATGTATGAAATTTGAAGACAATCAGACTTTTAAATTACATTTTAAAAGAGGTATAATTATTCAAAACGTTGACCCTTTGTGGGAGAGGTACTTGATAGAGTGGACCGACATTGTCCATTTTCGCACCTGACCTAGCATTGATGCAAATATTAGGATTTGCAAAGTTGAAGCCATATCGAATTATTATCCTTTCTCTCTCGGTGCAGTGAATTATTTTCTTTGAAAATTTTGACATTTTGTGGGGGAGGTACCAGAAGGAGTGGATCGATATTGTCCATTTTAGAACGCGATCTAAGTTTGACAATAATATTACAATGTACCAAGTTTGGATCAAATCTGATATTCCCCTCGAGAGTTATCGTGCGCATCAGCCAGACGGATGGGCGGTCGAACATCGCTAGATCGACTCCAAATGTCCTGAAACGGATTTGGTATAAAGAGACCTAGGATCTTAAAGCGTTTTATCGTTGAGGCACGTTTTGGCCGCATCAAATGATATATACCCTCTCTAGCCTAGCTATATGACTGAGGGTATAATCAAAAGTTTTTCATGTCTGAACGTTATTCAAGTTCTGCACTGAATCTGAATAACACATAAAAATGTATTGGTTGGTTGTTTGTTTTTCCCTGGCTGGCTTAATTTCATTCAATTCCCTGTGAACATATCTCAATATTCCCTATATTTTCAATCAAATGAGATTTATGAGGTGCCCTACAAGGTCGCATCGAACCTTTCAAACGCAAATTGATTTTTATCCATTGTTTTACAACTTGCAATTATTGGCCTGTTTCAGAACTGCAAGAATTTAAAAGTTTTTACTACGATAGCCGATTTTCCCTTTATGATTTTGAAGAAAATTGCAAAACTAGTAGATTCTTGCAGGTTCTAAAACAGATCATTAATTTTTATCAATTCCTTCGTTCGTTTTGTTCTTCATTTAAGATGCGTAGATTATTTAAGTGAATGTGAATTCTCATTAATTTCTTTTGTCTTATTTTTTTTTCCTTTTTTCATTGCAGAGAGAGAGATAGAGAGAGAAAGAGAGAGTCATCATCATCATCATCGATCGATCGAGCCGTCAGTCGTCGCACGAACAACAGCAACATCAACAGCAACAAATCATTAACACATTGGTGTTTTAGATGATTGCAAAAAAACTCAATTGTTCTATTTAAAGGTAAGCTGCTGATCCCCAGGGTGGGAAAATCAGACACATGTAGCCATTGGCGTCTTTGGGTATAGATACTCGTAGAAGGGAAAGTGAAATAAAAGTAAAGCAATTTTTCTGTTGTTGCTTTCAAATTGCACCTGTGATTGGGGAGATGGGAAAGAAAATGATAAGACCATACGTGTTGCGCTTTCAAATTTATTTATTTAAAATTCTATAATTCCAAACATCCAGTAGATTTCTGTTGGTATTTTAAGGGCTCTTTTGCCAAAGCTTTGGAAATACATGGAAAATCTAACAGATGGTATTCACCAAATAGAACACAACTAGCAAAAATAAAAAATAGTTAAAAAAATTAAAGTTAATTAATTGAAGGCCTAAAACATGTTCGAAATGTAACCAGTTGTCCTCCCTATAACTCCCTATAATTTACTTTAGCGACATTATTCACCGGAATTGTTTCAAATTTGGTATTTGAAGTTCGTAATGCATACTACAGGCTATGACAGAAAATTGTCTGTGCAGACCCACGTCTTCGTATAGCTCCAATATAGCGGTACTTGCCGATATTCGGTATTTTGATGATTTTAGTGACACTATTCACCGGAATTGTTTCAAATTTGATATTTGAAGTTTGTAATGGATACTATAGCCTATGACAGAAAATTGTCTGTGCAGGTCCACGTCTTTGTATAGCTCAAATATAGCGGTACCTCCCGATATTCGGTATTTTGATGATTTTAGTGACACTATTCACTGGAATCGTTTCAAATTTGGTATTTGAAGTTTTTAATGGATACTACAGCCTGTGACAGAAAATTGTCTGTGCAGACCCACGTCTTCGTATAGCCACCATATAACAGTACCCCCCGATATTCGGCATTTCGATGATTTTAGTGACGCTAATCACCGGAATCGTTTCAAATTTGGTATTTGAAGTTTTTAATGGATACTACAGCCTGTGACAGAAAATTGTCTGTGCAGACCCACGTCTTCGTATAGCCACCATATAACAGTACCCCCCGATATTCGGCATTTCGATGATTTTAGTGACGCTAATCACCGGAATCGTTTCAAATTTGGTATTTGAAGTTTTTAATGGATACTACAGCCTATGACAGAAAATTGTCTGTGCAGACCCACGTCTTCTTATAGCCCCCATATAACAATACCTTCCGATATTCGGTATTTTAATGGTTTTAGCGACATTATTCAGCGGAATTGTTTCACATTTGAAATTTGAAGTTCGTAATGGATACTACAGCCTATGACAGAAAATTGTCTGTGCAGGTTGACGTCTTCGTATAGCCACCATATAACCGTACCTTCCTATTTTCGAGATTTTGACGATTTTAGCGACATTATTCACCGGAATTGTTTCAAATTTGACATTTGAAGTTCGTAATTGATACTACAGCCTATGACAGAAAATTGTCGGTGCAGGTTCACGTCTTCGTATAGCCACCATACAACGTCACCTCCCGAGATTCGGTATTTTTATGATTTTAGCGACATTATTCAGCGGAAATGTTTCCAATTTGGTATTTGAAGTTCGTAATGGATACTACAGCCTATGACAGAAAATTGTCTGTGCAGGTTGACGTCTTCGTATAGCCCCCCTATGACGTCACCTCCCGATATTCGGTATTTTGATGATTTTAGTGATACTATTCACCGGCATTGTTTCAAATTTGGTTTTTGAAATTCGTAATGGATACTACAGCCTATGACAGAAAATTGTCTGTGCAGGTTCACGTCTTCGTATAGCCACCATATAACGTCACCTCCCGATATTCGGTATTTTGATGATTTTAGCGACATTATTCACGGGAATTGTTTCAAATTTGGTATTTAAAGTTCGTAATGGATATTACAGCCTATGACAAAAAATTGTCTGTGCAGGTCCACGTCTTCGTATAGCGTCCATACAACGGTACATCCCAATATTCGGTATTTCGATGATTTTAGTAACATTATTCACCGGAATGGTTTCAAATTTTGTATTTGAAGTTCGCAACGGATACTATAGCCTATGACAGATAATAGTCTATGCAGGTCCAGGTCTTCGTATAGCTCCAATATAGCGGTACCTCCCGATATTCGGCATTTTGACTATTTTAGGTACAATACCCACCGAAACTGTTTGAGATGTCGTATTTGAAGTTCGTAATGGATACTACAGCCTATGACAGAGAATTATCTGTGCAGGTCCCCGTCTTCGTATAGCCCCCATGTCACGTCACCTTCCAAAATTCGGTATTTTGATGATTTTAGTGACACTATTCATCGGAATTGTTTCAAATTTGGTATTTGAAGTTCGTAATGGATACTACAGCCTATGACAGAAAATTGTCGGTGCAGGTTTACGTCTTCGTATAGCGTCACCTCCCAGTTTTCGGTATTTTAAAGATTTTAGCGACATTATTCATCGGAATTGTTTCAAATTAGACATTTGAAGTTCGTAATGGATACTAGAACATAACACAGAAAATTGTCTGTGCAGGTCCACGTCTTCGTATAGCCACCATATAACCGTACCTCCCTGTTTTCTGTATTTGGATGATTTTGTCGACATTACTCACCAGAATTGTTTCAAATTTGGTTTTTGAATTTCATAATGAATACTACAGACTATGACAGAAAATTGTCGGTGCAGGTCCACGTCTTCGTATAGCCACCATATAATCGTACCTCCCTGTTTTCGGTATTTTTATGATTTTAGCGACATTATTCAGCGGAAATGTTTCCAATTTGGTATTTGAAGTTCGTAATGGATACTACAGCCTATGACAGAAAATTGTCTGTGCAGGTTGACGTCTTCGTATAGCCCCCCTATGACGTCACCTCCCGATATTCGGTATTTTGATGATTTTAGTGATACTATTCACCGGCATTGTTTCAAATTTGGTTTTTGAAATTCGTAATGGATACTACAGCCTATGACAGAAAATTGTCTGTGCAGGTTCACGTCTTCGTATAGCCACCATATAACGTCATCTCCCGATATTCGGTATTTTAATGATTTTAGCGACATTATTCATCGGAATTGTTTCAAATTTGGTATTTGAAGTTCGTAATGGATACTACAGCCTATGACAGAAAATTGTCTGTGCAAGTCCACGTCTTCGTATAGCCCCCATATGACGTCACCTCCCGATATTCGGTATTTTGATGATTTTAGTGACATTATTCACCGGAATTGTTTCAAATTGGGTATTTGAAGTCCGTAATAGATACTACAGCCTATGACAGAAAATTGTCTGTGCAGGTCCACGCCTTCGTATATCGCCCATATAACGTCACCTCCCGATATTCGGTATTTTGATGATTTTAGCGACATTATTTACCGGAATTGTTTCAAATTTGGTATTTGAAGTTCGTAATGGATACTACAGCCTATGCCAGAAAATTGTCTGTGCAGGTTGACGTCTTCGTATAGCTCCCATATAACGGTACCTCCCGATATTCGGTATTTTGATGATTTTAATGACACTATTCTCCGGAATTGTTTCAAATTTGATATTTGAAGTTCGTAATGGATACTACAGCCTATGATAGAAAACTGTCTGTGCAGGTCCACGTCTTCGTATAGCCACCATATAATCGTACCTCTCTGTTTTCGGTATTTTGATGATTTTAGTGACATTATTCACCGGAATTGTTTCAAATTTGATATATGAAGTTCGTAATGGATACTACAGCCTATGACAGAAAATTGTCTGTGCAGGTCCAAGTCTTCGTATAGCCACCATATAACAGTACCCCCCGATATTCGGTATTTTGATGATTTTAATGACACTATTCACCGGAATCGTTTCAAATTTGGTATTTGAAGTTCGTAATGGATGCTACAGCCTATGATAGAAAACTATCTGTGCAGATCCACGTCTTCGTATAGCCACCATATAACGTCACCTCCCGATATTCGGTATTTTGATGATTTTAGCGACATTATTTACCGGAAATGTTTCAAATTTGGTTTTTGAAGTTCGCAATGGATACTACAGCCTATGACAGAAAATTGTCTGTGCAGGTCCACGTCTTCGTATAGCCACCATATACCCATACCTCCCTGTTTTCGGTATTTTGGCGATTTTAGCGACACTATTCACCGGAATTGTTTCAAATTTGATTTTTGAAGTTCGTAATGGATACTACAGCCTATGACAGAAAATTGTCTTGCATGGTCCCCGCCTTCGTATAGCTCCAATATAGCGGAACCTCCCGATATTCGGCATTTCGATGATTTTAGCGACATTATTTACCGGAATTGTTTCAAATTTGGTATTTGAAGTTCGTAATGGATACTACAGCCTATGACAGAAAATTGTCTGTGCAGGTTCACATTTTATCAATCATCTCTTTGTTTTGGACAGCGGCACCAGCGTCACCAGTGCTAAAAGTCACTGCAAAACAGAAGGCCTTGTGAAAGAGTTTCCTGTAATCAAAAAGACCATGTTAAAGTATTCTTTAGGTCATCAGGCCATTAAGGTATTCTCTATGAAGAAACCTTTTGAAGGACTACCATAGAAAATATTTTAGAGGTAATCCATTTAGGTCCTGAAAACTTTTTGCGGGTCTTCAACCCAGAAATACCTTTAAAATTTGTCATACCCACAGAATATATCGGAAAGTTTTTTTCCATTCGAAAAATAACTCTCTCAGGTCATCGGGATCTGTAAGATCTTCAGAGAGCCTATTTTGCTAATATTCTAAACCTAAATGATTTTCTACACAATTGCTACAGGCGGAAGTCCTAAAGGTCATTCATTCCCATTACTTTGCGAAAAAAAAATCTACTTTCACAAATCTCTCAATGGCAAATAAATATTGGATTTGGCTATACAGGATGTTCGAAACGAAACACACACACACACACACACACACACATTTTTGTGAACAAATTATTGTTCAATCACAGCAACCAATAATACACGTCATTTCTGATATTGCATTCGACAAGTCAAGTCTGGTCGAATAAGTGAGTGGAGTTTTTTTGTTTTTCTGAA